AAAAAAAAAGAAAGGGATTTCGTATGTGTCGCATTCACTTAGCTCATTAGCCACTTTATCTTTCTTTTGTTTTGCGAACCAACCGCTTCTAACCGCTCCTAATGGTGGTGAAAGAAAGTTGTTATTGTCATCATAGAATGTCGTCACGCTGGCCCTGTTTACGCCATGGATCCGGGTTCTGGGTGAGGTTTCACGCAGCTATCTTAGTGATCAGTTGATGGCTGCGATCGCCTGAGAGGACCCGCACATACTGTAATCGCTACCGAGTAGCGTCGATAACAACGAGGTGGCGCTCTCGCGCCCAACCTGCGCCGCTGGCAGGGTTACGCCGATGACGGCTGGTAATGACGGTGGTGTAGATGAGGATGCTGACGGGGAAACGGTGATGCGAGTGCGGATGGCGATGATGATGAGTACTAAGATGATGGATGATGGTGGGTGCTGAGGAGTGATGATCATGCCACATGATGCTGATGATAACAGGGATGATGATAATGAAGGTGGTGATAATGATGATGACGATCGATGACCGTCATCATCGTTATCGTCATGATCAACTCATGATGGTGATGATGATGATAATGGAAAAAGTGTCTTCATGGAGAACGGTGATGGTGAGGATGCCACATGATGATGAAAATGATGATGATGATGATGATGATGTTGATGATGATGATGATGATGATACGGAGGATGAAGGAAGTGTCTTTGTGGAGAGCGGTGATGGCGATGATGCCACGGGACGACGACGACGACGACGACGACGATGATGATGATGATGATGATGATGATGATGATGAAGCCAGGAGGATGGAGAAAAGTGCCTTCGTGACGAACATTGGTAGTGATGACACTACATGGTCTTTATTGAGAACGGTGATGACGATGATGCCACGGGATGAAGATGACGATAACGATGATGATGATGATGATGATGATGATGATGATGATGATGATGGCTCCTCACTCTTGGAGGGTAGGATGACGGAAATGAGTTTTTTAGAATGATGGTGATAAACATGAGGAGGAGGATCTTACTGATGTGACGATGATGTAGATGCTATGATGTTCATCAGGTTGAGGATCCGATGGTGATGAAGAAGCCCCTGATGCTGGCCATCAAGCTGATGATACAATGGTGAGGAAGATGCCTCTGGTGCGAGTGGGTGGTGATGATGCTGGCCCCTCTCACACTTGCTTACGAAGTGACGTCATGAGTAGTTATGGTGTTGGTGGTGATGATGACCATGAGGGCAGTGATGGCGGCATCCAGAAGCTTACTTGTATTGGTTTCACGATGCTTCTGCTTATAGAACAACGATGACTGGCAGAAATTGAAGCCCTTTTGACAGCCAATGGTCGCCGTTGGATCGCCATTCCGGACTCACCGAGGGCTGCTCATACGCTTTTAGGCACACAAAACACCCACTCACCCACCCACACACACACACACACACACGCACACAGTCCTGCTCTTTTGTGGAGTCGTGTATAGCGAACGTGATAAAACACACACACACACACATACACAGACACACACAGACACACAGAGAGAGAGAGAGAGAGAGAGAGAGAGAGAGAGAGAGAGAGAGAGAGAGAGAGAGAGAGAGAGAGAGAGAGAGAGAGANAGAGAGAGAGAGAGAGAGAGAGAGAGAGAGAGAGAGAGAGAGAGAGAGAGAGAGGCCTATTCATACGTGTCTAGGCCCACGTAAATCATCATCATCACGCACGCACAAGCACTAGAAACACGCGTGCCTGGACTTGGCAAATGGGTACGCAAGGGAAATGCCCTTTCGATTATGTACAGGGCACGTTTTAAGATCGGCTGTTCGGGATGAGGGTGCAACCATAAACCCAAGAACGTGGAGGGAAGAAGCAAACCATAAACCCAAAAGCATGTGGGTGGGAAGATAAAATGATAAACCCTGAGAGGGTAAAGAAGAACAATATAGGATGAACACATGACTAGAAACTGGACTTGACAGGTCACCCTTGGAGGTACGGAAAAATAGAGGGCCCGGGGGGGGAGGAGGTGGGGGTGGAGAGTAGAGTCTTACTAAGGAGTCATTTCGGGTGAAGAAACCCGAAAAGTGGAGTTTTTTTTTTTTGTGCGTTGGGGACTACCTAGCTGGCCTCTTTGAGGTTTGGAGGTCCTGTAGGAAAACCTGGACCAGGTCCAATAGGGCCCCTTGGACGTTTGGTGGTCCAAATACACGGAGACATAAGGGCATGCTCACACTACCGTCGTCCCCCGAACATAACGCACCCCAAAAGTGAATGTATGCAAGCTATATTTCCGGCCAGATACAGCCAAAATGAGGGTGCGTTGTGTTCGGGGGAAGACGGTATGACTTTCCGAGATGCAGCGGGTTTTTGCTGCAACCGGTTTCTCCAATCGGTTGCAGGAACCGGTTGGCCGGATACAACAACTACCTTCTTCTCCCGAATACAACGCACAGTCATTATAGCTGTATTTGAGGCGTCTTTCAGTCTAGATACAGCTATAATAACCGTACGTTGTACTCGGGGGAAGACGGTAGTTGGTACGCAAGTTGATGGTGGATGGCTGAAAAGATTAGCTGTGTGGGGCTTGGGCCGTGAAAACCACCACTACCGGTAACACATCACGCCAGTACACAAGGGGGCCTCATGTCGGTACGGTATTGCCTGCTGGCCCACCTAAAGCCTCCTACCCGTGGAAGGCCCGCCCCTGCCAACTGTTTGGGAATTTAGGGTAGGGTAGGGCAAGAGATAGGCGTGACAGGGGAAAAGATGGAGTTGGCAAATGCAGGTACCAATACTTCGAAATAGCTTTTATGGGGGTGCCCCTGCGCTAAGCCGCCAGCTCTTTCGAGTGCAAGGGGGTACGGGCTGCTGCTACGGTAGGTAGCCATTCCCTCAAACTCGAATTTCTTGACTGTGACGTGTAAGGGCCTACAGGGTGCTGATACGTAGCCATTCCGTTTTGGTTGGTCAGGAAGGCCGAGCCTGGAAATTGGAGCCAGTGAGCACCAGTACACCACCCACCAGTACACCAAAAACACCAGTACACGACACATATGGCCGCCGGTGTCAGCTGTCGAGGCCGCTGAATTTTTTTGCAACGGTGCCCCTGGCCGTGCTTCGCCTCCAAGTTTCGCTTGTGGCGACAATGTTTTGTTTTCTTTTTTTGGTTTATAAAAGCTATATTCTTCTCTCAATTTCTCCTCACCCTGCCTGCCTACCACTACTCCTAATTGTAGGCATAGGGGGAACCCCGTAGCAGCCAGAACCGTGTTCACGAGAGAACAGAACATGCGGTATCGCCCAGGGGAAGGGGACAGCCGGTAGCATCAGGGACCATGCCAACAGGACCAATCCCTGTGCCTCCCCTCAGGTGGTGGTCCCCTCCCCTTCGAACATCAGCGGACTCTGCTCAATGCGGATCGGGGGATCCAGTGGTCTATCTCTAGGTGACGGGCACCAAGCATGCCCAGGAAGGTACATGAGGCCAATGGGGATTGAACCCACGACCTCGACCTGAATGCCACTTGCGAGCCTCACCAACTGAGTTAGGCCGCTGGATACAAAAACTTTCTGCAAGGCTGTGGTCGTGTACTAGTGGTTTGAACCACTACTGTAATACTTGCCCTTCATCACGGCAGAGCACGCAGTGTGGTGGGATGTACAGGCCTGCCAGTTTGCAAAAAATGCACCCAGGCTAAATGGGCCATTACCGCCAAGCGTTTTGCCTGGATGCTGTTGTTGTGAACTGGCAGGCTGTGGTGAACAGTGCCGCATGGTAGAAACATGGCTGGGAAAAGTACTGTTGTCTGCAGGCAGTGTAGCTGGGGAAGAAACCAATACTTCAGAATGGGGCTCTTGTGGGGGCTGGCGTCCCAAGCCACCCCCCTTCCACGACAGGAAGAGCTCTGTTTCATTTTTGCGTTTTTTCTGATCACTTTGTTAAGCGTTGGTGGGAGGCTTGATTGTGGTTTCCAAGGTTTGGGATCAGGACAAAACTGGCCGGTCAGAATGTATGTGGGCATCCTTACGTCTGGATGCAGATGGTGCAGTTAGTCATTCTTGCGTCCAGGTGCATTCTACTTCAACTAGTGACTACATTTTGGAACCTGAGCGGGCTGTCTGTGCACTTTTCTCCTCTGCCTGAGAGTGGAAAGGACACAACTAATCACGACTCTATATGTTGGCATGCCAAGCAGCAGCTTCGCCGACCCCTTTTGGCCTCCCCACCCCACTCTTGAAATGTGAAAAAGACAGAAATGTGGCTGATGCATCTGGCCATGTTCTAGCGGGACGTTCATTCACATTTTGTACATTTCGAGAGTGGTGTGGCCATGCCTTTTCTCTGGGTGTTAGCAACAGGTTTTCCAGAGGGGTGCACAGTTCAGAGAGGAGAAGCAGGTTCGGTCAAATGTAGTGCATGCCCCAGCCACATGGCTGAGTGATACCACACATTTGCCTGGTGATCAACAGTTCACCGGTTCAAATACTGCTGAATTCAGCAATGTTACGGGCATTTCCCTCTTTTTTTTTTTAATTTTAGAAGAGAGAAAGGCATGCGTCGCTAGTTACTGTTCCTCGCATTCGTTTCAGAGTAGCCTACCGGTAGCTGTAAATCACCAGTACATCCGAAAAAGCAGATTGAGCGGAGGTAGCTGTAAACCTCCAGTACATCCAAAAAAGCAGATTAAGGCTCTGCTAAAATTTGAAGGCCTGTCCTTCTGGACATCCATTAAAATTGGAACGATAAAGAGAAGTGCAAGAAATATGAGTGTGAACGATATTCAGAAAACCAAGTTGCGAAATCACACAGATGTCCAAGTAGTCGTGTACAAGCAGAGAGCACAGTTGCACCGAGAATCCATCCAAATAGAGCGATACAAAGAAGTAATGAGCCAATGTTCAAGCCCTCAGGCCACACCAACACAGTATCCAAAGTCGCTACTCTCTGTCTGGCGCCCAGCGCCTAGCCTACTCTACTCAACTATCCTACCTACAGCTGTGTTCACACAGCAGGCTCACTTCGACTCTCGAAGACCAATGTACATGATGTCACCCTCATCAGACCTTGATAACCCACACGCTCGCCTTCTTCCCTGAAGACTACCAGATTGCCCCCTCGTACCCCCTAGCGCCCAGCAGCCCGGCTATGGCTGCCAGCGCACCGCTGCCCTGCAGCGTCCCACTTCACCTCAACGCGCCCCGCAAGTGCACTGGCCGCAGCGCAGCAGCATGACCGCATTGCCTGCGCGGGCCAGAATGCCTGGCCTGGACTGCCTCTCTTCCTATATGGAAGTGGCAGCCTCCTGGATGCTGCGTGTGGCCTGGCTGGAAGCTTCCAGTAGCTTCCTGTTGGGCCCCAGTTCCTGCGCTCAGTCCAGAGACTACAGTTGAAGGCCTGGGCCCTTTACAGTTGGGCACGGCCTGAGTCTCCGGACTTGGGCCGGTTTCTGCATGTGCACAGGACCCCGGGGCAGGTACGTCGACAGTACTGCTTTTGCGTAGGCCGGTGGCCACTTCAGGATGTATCGGCCCTGCTTTGTGTGTATGTGCCCAGGCGAAATTGCCAAGGCCTGGGCCAACTGTACGACACAGCTTAGTGAGGCTCGGGCGTCCACTCAACCAACTGGCGGGCTGCAACAGCCTGAATACCCACTTATCAAAATGTTGAATTTTGGCCTCTGATGAATATTCAGGCCCGGCTTCACTTAGGGCGGGCACTCAGCTTACTGGGGGCCTCTGTATGTCTGATAGGGGCCCCGTGAGGGCGCGTTCCTCGCAGAAGATTGCCATGGAAAAAGATGAGAGAAAAAAAAAAATGGCCATCCAGAAAAACAGATTGAGCCTCTCCTAAAATTCAGAGGCCATGGACCGACGATAAAATGAATACGCGGGTCATGGCCTCCTATTTTTTAGGAGAGGCTCAATCTGCTTTTTTGGATGTACTGGTGGTGTAATGGCCAGGCAAGCCGATCTATTGCTAGAGCAAGAGCGCGTGAAAAATTCACAAGCACAAAGCAGCACAGCCGAAGTAGGGCAAGGGTGCGCACTGGCAGACTTCGGTAAGGGATATGAATACACTCGATTAAATGGGAGGATGTGTTGCTGGTCAGGAAGTGTGAAACAGCAACCGTCTTCACCCCAATAGTAAAACGCACAGTCATTGTAGCTGTATTTGGGGCAACTTTCAGTCTGAATACAGCGATAACGATTATGCATTCAATTCGGATGCAGAAGGTTATAGACACTCGATGAAAATGTATGTGTCTGATAGGTCGCACGGTTCCTTGGAGCATGGGGTGTAGGGAGCGGGAGGAACCAACGGCATCCACAAAAGGCCCTTACGAAACTATCGTGATGTGGAGTGGGAGAGGCCAATCAACTGGAAGGCTTGGCCACTTGACTTCCTTGTCTGTCACCCACGCACCCACGGAAGATCTACTCCTCTAAGGAAACTGTTCGGCTCAACACTGGTGGATTTTTACCAAGAAGGCACTGTGGCATGTTCATAATATCTAACAGAATCGAATTGAGAAAAGGCTGCCCTTTCCCGACAAGAAGGGTTGCTTAAAATCCATACAATGCAAGCAGATCGCTCTTGATTCCTTGGTTGAGTGCTTTGTCAATGCGAGGAAGAAGGGGAGGGGGAGGAACTCAGACTATGGGTTGACTGGCCGGGGCTTAAACGACAATGCTGAAATCACTTAGTTTCCCCAGCCCACCATTCTGGTCCTTGAAGAGTTTCAGAAGCTCCCTTTGCTAATGCCCGGTCTTGCCCGGTTATGCGGGCTCATGCTCGCTAGATAAAAATTTGGGTGTCAACTAGTTCCTCCTTCCCTTTTGAGATTCGTCAAGTTCATCGAGTGGGAACTCTGGACTGAAGGTCTAAATAGTAATTTTTGCCAGCACCGCCTGAATACGTCCTTCCTGCAATTGAAATGAAGAAAGCCTGAGAAAGGTGAGACCTGAATACAAAAGTCCCATGGGAGTGCATAAAAAATGTCTTGTTGGATTGCCAGGCTAGTATATGCGTGCCAGGTCAAGATTCCAAGGAGGAGGGGGTTTTCAAACCAGCAGGTTCTTGAATGTTTGTTAGTGACCCTGGCAACCTCAAATATGGCAGGAGTTAATAATTCTGATCATCCCTGAGCAATAAACAAAGACAAGAGTAAGAGGGGTTGGACACTGTGCCTGCAATTCCTTGCGGCTTTGGTAATTGGTGTTTTCGGCACTTGAAAGCCTTCAGCCAAATTGCCCCCAAGTTGTCATGGCTATGGTCAGTCCTGTTTGAAATGTGAAATCGATTCAAAATGTGAAATTCTGTAACAAGTATTCTGCAGAAATGTGATTGCTATTTCTCTAAGGCGGGCAGTAAATGCTCGGTCATTAGAAACGTGTCTGAAATGGAACGCCTTTTTCTTTTTTGTCCTGTTTGCTTGCAGCTCTTATTTCATGTTTCATGAGATGGATCCACATCGACCTGAGGATGTTTTCCGCTTCCTGCCTGTGCTTGCGTATGTGGAAGCTTATATGTACAAGGTAAGTACTAACGCACAGTCAGTGGTGATGTCGGGCTATTTTTTTTTTTTTTTTTTTAATTTGGACCATTTCTCGATTTATGCGTGTCATCCTTGCGCAGGGGCCATGCTAATCTTCTCTGTATCGTTCCAATTTTAACGGATGTCCCGAAGGACTGATGTCAGGCTATTTCTCTGTTTTATTATTCTATAATTCTATATGCATTTCAGACAAGAACAGGCTTTTTGTCAGAAATTCGGTGAAAAAAGTCACCGAAGTGTATTTGTCTGGGTAACTATTATGCGCTGATGAGGCACATTTCTCATCAATCATTTCGGTGTTTCCTTTTGCAGCTGGATGAGCTGAATGAGGAGGTTGTCAATGGTGCTTTGACTGTGAGAGGATCTGGAATGAGATGCCAGCCTCCTTGTTCCACGACCTCCGAACTTTCTGTCCATAGGAAAACTTCGAATGGGGGGGAGCGGATCACGATGACGTCCAATGGGGACAGCAGGCAGAGGTGTGTCGACGGTTATGACCCTAGTGAAAGTGAACACGGCGCCGATGAACGAGTGGCCTCGTTCGTTTGTGATGACAACCTTGATCCTTTCAAAGGACTGAAGGATCTGCTACGTGAAAGGAAACTGTTGACCGACCGGTATGAGGACTGCTTTCCTTTCTCCCTCTGTCTGGTATTGCTGTGGATGTCTTCTGGGAAACCTCCAATGTGGAAAGAATAATTATGAACTGAAGTTGTGGAAAATGCCTCTCTCTCTCTCTCTCTGTCTCTGTCTCTGTGTCTGTCTGTCTGTCTGTCTGTCTGTCTGTCTGTCTGTCTGTCTGTCTGTCTGTCTGTCTGTCTGTCTGTCTGTCTCCCCCCCTCTCTCTCTCTCTGTCGCTGTCTCTGTGTCTGTCTGTCTGTCGGTCTCTCCCTCTCTTCTGTTTTGTTGTTGAAATGAACGTTTAGAATTTGCAAAGGAATGAGAAGAAACCCCCCAGCACTTTCCGGTTTGAGATGTTGAGGAATTCCCGGCCTCATTGATTTTGCATATAATAAAACTGTGTCTTTCCTATATATAAAAAAAAGAAGAAGAGAACTCCCACAAAAACATCTACCGTTGATCTCGATGGCATGATGACATTGTGTCAAATTTCTTACTGTGAACAGTGTGAAGAATGACTGACATTGAAACTCGGCGAGTTTAAAGATTCCTAGATTAAGTCTTATCTTCTGATTTTATGTGGTCGGCATTGTTGCCAAGTGCTTTTCCAAAGTTTGCTCCAACCTCTATACCCCTTTTTTTGTTGCGGCTGTGGATTTCAGCAATTGCTCAGGAGATTGGTTGCACTTACAGAGGGTCCTTCGGTAAGGTTTGGGTGTCCGTACAGAATGTCTCAGTGCATACTCATACCAGGCTTATTTTGAGAGGTTCCTGGACATAGTTGCAGTGAGGTACATCCAGGTCAAGCAGTGATTGTGGTCAGGTCAGCTAAGGAAACTCCTAGCTCGAGCATGGTCTCATGGGTGTTGTTCGGGTTGAGGGAATGACTGGAGTATCACTATTCTGTAGAGATGGGGTGGATGTCACTACTGGCACTGTTCCACTCTTGAACGATCCGTAATGGTTGCAGTCGTGAGGACTACCGTCTTCATCCGAATAGAACGCCCGCGGTCATTATAGCTATAATGACCGCGGCGTTCTATTCAGGTGAAAACGATAGTGACTGTTGTGGATAAGATGGGCGTTCTGATTCTGTAGTGGTGAGGACAAGGCAGTAACTGGCCTGAAGATTGTACGTGGAATGCAGCTGCTGAGTCTACGAAGGGTTATGCAGATATAGTATGTGGTCCCGCGAGTGGTCTTGTTGGTGTCATGTGCATTTCAGAGAGAGTGGAGTGGGAGCTCGATTTTTGAACATCAGGTTATGGTTACGGTGGTGAAGACAGCTGAATGTCATGGCCAAGATGATCACTTTTTCGATTCTGTGCAGGATGCGGATTCATTGCGGGCAAAGTAATCCTCCATTGTCATGTAGGCACTTTTCTGCGAACATGTTAGGGTAATAGTTATGGAACCGTTTCCCAAATCTTTACTTGCTGTTTGGCTGATTCATCGAAAGCCATGTATGGGCCAATTACCTGGTGTGTGGCTGATCAATGCTGATGAACGGACGGGCAAGTGGAGCGAAGGATGGAATTCTGAGTGCTAGCATGCGTTTTGAAGCTAGCATACTTTTTAGGTTTACACACTTCAGTGTTTGGTTGGTTTCCCCGAATCTTCCGCTAAATGCTGGTATATAATACGGTTTTGCAACTTTGCCGTTTTGGTTCGGTATTGGGACCACCGCTGTCTCGGAACCTATTTGCCGAACCTAGGCGTTAGGCCGCCATTGGCTGCGCGTCCACCGAGACATCCAGCAACCAGGCATTCTCCAAGGTAAGTGTGTCTCCTTGTATACGGCTGCAACCTTTGGAGTATTTTCCTTTCTGTCTCGTCGACCATGTCTGCCTCCCCTCTTGCATGATCAAAGTTGGGATGCATTTCTACAAAGGGAAAAGGTCACGATTGCCACTTACGAAGATACAAAGTCTCAGATCTAGGCTGTCTGGGGGATCTTCTGTGGAGGCTGTCTGGGGGAGTGGTTGTCTATGTAAGCTTCTCAACAGGAACATCCGCTCTTGACTAACAGTGGTGATATCTTTTTTTTTTTTTTCATTTCCCGATTTATGCGTGTCATCCTTGTGCAACTTTTGATGCGGGCCATTCTAATCTTCTCTGTATCGATCCAATTTTAATGGATGTCTCAAAGGACGGTGAGGTCAACTTTTGATGAAGAGAATGCAAGGAATGAGGAGAGAGGAGATGATAGCAAATGGAATCCCTCCTCAGTGTGTGTGTGGGCAGATAGAGGTAAAAAAATACCTGCACTACAGTGCAGGGAGGTAGGAAGAAGAATGAGTTCCCACAGATGTGCACAGATTTTCACTGCCTCTCTATCTCGGCCTCAAAGAGCCCAGTACTTGTGCTACAGCAATGTGGTAAGGAGACGACTGAGTCCCACCCATGCGTACAGTGTTTTCCTGCCACTCGATCTCGGTCCTAGAGAGTCCAGAGTACTTCGCAAGAGGCTGATGCACCAGTCACCCTGAAGGGCCTGAACTGTTAACAATCTGGAGATCCAATTCTTCTCTCTTCTTCGACTTCGTTTGAATCCAGTAGCTAAAAAGAATGTAGAGCCATATATCCCATCAGAAATGGTACATCAGAAAGTGCAGGAAGAGGGGAGAGTGAGGATGGACAGCATAGAAGGGTAGCACTCCCCCCCACCTTTCTCTTCTCCACCTCTCCTCCTGCCAGTGTGGTAGAACTTGGAGGAGGAGGGCATAGAAGGAACTAGCAGCGGGCACTGGTTGCCTCTCTCTCTCTCTCTGTCTGTCTGTCTCTCTCTCTCAAGGAAAATCACGTTCTGATACTTGCATTAAGCTGTTTGTATTTTGACAGCCTAGTAGGAGGGTGCTGTCCAGGTTGTCCAAGGTGAGGAAGAGAAAATGGAACACTGGGGCATGTGGAGCATGCAGATTCTATAAACTTCTTTCTGTTTCTTTCACATCATCAACGTCTAAAGGAAGACCAGAGAACATCAGGACATTCAGATTGTATAACTTCATTTTCCCTGTCCTCCACCTCGTCTGCCTTCTGTCTTGGATGCACTAGACTGTGATGCTCATTGCTAAGAAAGGAGAAAGGTCAGGTGAAGACTGCCACTTACGGGCCGGATGGGAATCAGTCGGAAATTCATTCCACGTCTACAAGTCTAACAGTGAACATGGAAATGCAGCTAAGTTCGTTGCTGAGGTTGGGGAGTCATGTTTTTCCTTTGTGGTGTTGGGGGCGGCGGGGGGGGGGGGGTGGGGGGTGGGGGGGAAGGCGGAGGCGGAGCCCTTGTCAGTATTGAATCCATCGGGATTTGAATGCATGATTTGTCTATTAACAATTACATGAATGTTATAAAACCATTCAGCCACAAGGCAGGCACGGGAGTATAATGCTTGTAATTCACAACTAGAATCGATTACCGAACTCATGGAAGTTGCTGAAATTCCAGGGGCGATGCATGGGAATCTTGTCCTAGCCATTGTAGCCGAATCCGATCTATAGGGGGGGGACTGCACCTGCCGGAAACTGGGTCCAGCATCCCTTACAACAATCATAAGGAACCGTATGAATATAAGAGCAGGAACCCCCAGTGGAGTTAGTGCTATAACTGTCAACTCACTAACTTTTTTGGCTTTGGTCAAGTGTTAAAGAACCACACACACACACACACACACACACACACACACACACACACACACACACACACACACACACACACACACAGA